GTCTCGTGTGTCAATCTGTGAAGGTCCTTTTAAGCCTCCTCTATCACACACACTAAAACCAGTGAGCTCATCCCACTGCATCTGCACCTACCTCCTCCCATCCTGGTTGAGATGATCGCTGCTGTGCTAGGACATCAGCACTTCCCCCTCGTCACACCCTTTGTTTTAGCCTCACACCGACAATGAAATACAGGGGTGCCCACTCTCCGTCGGAGGCTGACGTCCCCCGGCCTGTCCCGTGGCTGGGCGAGGCTCGTCCTGAGATTCCGCGAGCTGGACGAGCGGGCGCCGACTTGTGTTTGAGATGGTTTTTCTCTGGCCCTGATGCTTGAAAGGCACACGTACCCTTGACTCACGCCTTTGAAAGCGCTGTCCATCACTGCCTTGTGCTTTATGTATTGATTTCGAGACGTCTGATGCCAGTCTCATTCTCTTGCCTTGTAAGCTATTGGCTTCTTTTGCTTGGGAGCTGTGGGGACTTTTCCTTGGTCTTTGATGTCTAATAGCATCACTAGACTACATCTTAGGCCTGACCGGCGCTGGCCAATGTCCCAGGCACCAGCGAGGCCTGCCGACGTGCAGATCCAGACCTCCGTTAGCTTCCACGTTCCTTCTGCTCCATGCGCTTCCCGGGCTCCCACTGCAGTCACGGCTTTTCTTCCCTGTCTCTCTGCTTCCCTCCCACCACCTGCTCTCTGACCCTTCCTTTTTTCTTTGCTTATTTGCATCCCTTGGTTGTTTCCCGGCATCTCTTCAATGCCCTTATTATATTTCATGTGAGTCTATGTTTTTTCCTTGAGCATGTTGAAATTTAGTCAATTTCTGAGATGATTTTAGCATTTCATCCATTTTTGACTGAGTACAAGTTCTTTTCACTTTTTCACATTTTTACCGGTTTCTGAATTTCTGACTCAAGAGTATTTTTCATCTCTGCACACACCTGAGGGTGTGAAAGTCAGCGGAGGGCGATGTTAAACAGTGCTCTTCGGCTCCGTGGCGTGTGTTTCCTCGGGTGGGAGGGGGGTGGTTCCTTACGCTGCGGTGTTTAGTCCTTCAACATTTTTCCGATGGAAAATTTCAAACATCTAAGAAGTTGAAAGAGTTGTAAGGTGAACACCCATATTCCCATGAGCTAGAATCTGTAGTTATCATTTTGTCCCACCCAATTGTCACATATATCTCCCTCTACCCAGCCACTGGGCCATCTTCATTTTTTCCAGGCATTAGTAGACTTCACCCCTAAACACTTAGGCAAGCACACCATTGGTAGAGTTTAAGGTTTAAACATTTTTCAAGGTTAAACTTGTCTACAGTAAAATGTACACCTTAGTGTACCCTTCTCTGGATGTTGAGAAATGCGCACAGCCACATAAACCACACCTCAAAGGGCTGACACTTCCCCCGCCACCAAAGCTCCCGTGCGCTCCCCGTCCACGCCTGCTCCCCCAGGGCAAGCACGGCCCTGCCTGCCCTCCATGCGCGGAGTCCACGCGGGGAGTCACACGGAGGCAGCTCCCGGAGCCAGGCTGACGGGAGCCCGCGGGGGAGAGCTCGCCGATGCATGCGGGCTCTTCTTGTCTCCTCACGCGCAGTTTGGAGCGCGGGCATTCTTGGTCTTCTAGTTGTGTCTACGGTTTTTTTGTAGTTTTATTTGTTTGTGTTTTTCTGTATTTTTTGAGAAATACTATCTATCTTGGATTTAGATAGTCACCATATTTGATTGCCAACATTTTCAAACATAAAGGAACAGATTATTTAACAACCATGCAAGTTAGAAAACGACCAAGATTTAGATTTTGCCACACCTGCTTTATAAAGCCCCCTCTCTCTCTTTTGAAATATTTTAAAGCAAAGCTCATACAACACGTTATTTCCACTTCAGTCTCCTCCTCTAAAGACAGACCTCGGCTTCAGCCCGAGGCCACGGTTACAGCTGACAACCACCAGCAACCGCGGTGCGGGTGAAAGGCAGCCCCCAGCCCACGCGCACGTCCTCCGGCAGCCGCGGTGCGGGTGAAAGGCAGCCCCCAGCCCCTGCTCACATCCTCGGGCAGCCGCGGTGCGGGTGAAAGGCAGCCCCCAGCCCCTGCTCACATCCTCGGGCAGCCGCGGTGCGGGTGAAAGGCAGCCCCCAGCCCCTGCTCACATCCTCTGGCAGCCGCGGTGCGGGTGAAAGGCAGCCCCCAGCCCCTGCTCACATCCTCCGGCAGCCGCGGTGCGGGTGAAAGGCAGCCCCCAGCCCCTGCTCACATCCTCCGGCAGCCGCGGTGCGGGTGAAAGGCAGCCCCCAGCCCACGCGCACGTCCTCCGGCAGCCGCGGTGCGGGTGAAAGGCAGCCCCCAGCCCACGCGCATGTCCTCCAGCTGCTGCAGGAATGCTCTTCCGAGGAAGCCGGGAGCTGGTCTGGAGAATGGCCAACATTCTTTTAACTTTTACTCTTTTTTTAAACCTTAAAGTTTTGAATCAATAATAAACTTCCATTCATTTCACTGCCATTGCAACACACATTTTTGGAAGCACTTTTGTGAAATTTAGTTTGATATTTTGTTGGAATATTCGTACGTTAGACACATTCCTCCTTAGAAAGCAGTTCTAACATTTTGGCCTTAGGGTCTCGCTGCGATCCTGTAAGCTGCCGAGGCCCTAGGAGCTTTTGTTTCTGTGGGAAGCTATCAATATTTACCACATTAGAAACAAAACAGAAATGTTTAAAGCACAAGACGCAAGCCAACAGGCATTAGGGTGACGACGGCACCTCACGCTAGGCAGCCCCGGACAACATGGCGAGCCTGAATGGAGAGCGAGGAGGAAGGTGATGTCTGCCCGGGAAGCGGCTTTGCTGTGGGAGCCCCCGCAGCAGCCTCTGCGCCCCTCTGGCTGGGCCCTCGTTGGAGAGCTGCTGCCTTAAGGAATGGGTCTGACTTTAGAAAACAAATGTACAATTTTTATGTGTCAAAATGAAGTAAAAAATAAAAGCTGACTTTTCTAGTAAGTCTTACAAAATGGCATTTTCAAAAAAGCATTTAACAAAGAATTCCAATCATAATCGGAGCTGTGACAAAGTGCTGAAAGCTGGGTACAGATTCCGCAAGTGGTTGCTGCAGCATCACAGAATTTTATTTTTTTAATTAGGTATTTATTATTTCTTATTATTTTTCAATCCTCACCTGAGGATATTTTTCCAATGATTTTTAGGGAGAGTGGAAAAGAGAGGGAAAGATAGAAAGAAACATCAATGTGAGAGAAACACATCTATTCGTTGCCTCCTGCATGAGCCCTGACCAGGGCTCGGGCTGGGGAGAAGCCTGCAACGGAGGTACATGACCTTGACCGGAATCGAACCTGGGACTCTTCGGTCCACAGGCCGATGCTCTGTTGCTCTGTCCACTGAGCCACAATGGCTGGGGCAGCATCACAGAATTTTAGACTGCGGGTCTCCGGAGCGTTCCCAAGGACAGCTGAGGCTGCACCTCGGCCTCGGCACACGGGGACAAGCCTGCGTCCTGCTCCAGCGCTGCCTCCCAGGAAAGCATTCTGGCATTTTTCCGGGAGCCACACATTTGCATGCGCTAAAGCAGGCCTTCTCAACCTTGGCACCGAGATGTGTCCGCGTGGTTTAAAAAAGACATGTCATTCAACAGAAGGCATGAATATGTTAAAGAGATGGAAGGTTAGTTAAAATGTATGTTTAGAAAGATTGACAAATGAGTTTTATCTGTTGTAAATCATGTAACATAAAGATTCAGTTATATAATATCAAGATATCTTTCAAATATCATGGTTGAAGTTTCATCTTTTTCCTACAATTTTATACCTGGTGAATCAGTCACAATTTTTAACATATTTTTAAAAATATATTTGATATGTTTTTATTTATTTCAGAGAGAGGAAGGGAGAGGGAGAGAGATATAAACATCAATGATAAGAGTGAATCATCAATCAGCTGCCTCCTGCACGCCCCACATGGGGGATCGAGCCTGCAACCTGGGTATATGCCCTGACCAGGAATCAAACCATGACCTCCTGGTTCATAGGTTGACACTCAACCACTGAGCCACACCGGCCAGGTAGCACATGAGCATTTTAAATGCCAAAAGAAGCCAGCTGCTTGTTCTCGTCTCTGACTCGATTAAGCGCTTACAATATTTTGACTGCTGGGAGAAAATTAATAATGGGATGTTAGGCGGTAGATGAACTGAAACTAAATATCAACACAGCTAGATTTATTTTTGGATGACTGAGCTCATCTCCTCAAAGAACGGAAATAGGATTTATTACATCATGATATTAACATACACAGCATCAAAGAGCCCCCCGCAGGGCAGAGACAGCAGCCACACCGGAGGCTGAAAGCTTAGGGTGCATCATCCGGGGAACCGAGTGGACAGCTATGGCCATTACCTCTGACTCACAAAGACGCCGGAGGAAGTTAAGGCGTAAATGCCCTGACAGTTTTGGGATGGAACCAGTGCGGATGCCTCGTTCCTTCCCTCCCAGCAGCAGTCCCCACGCAGCCCATGCGGACACACTCATACACATGGGAGAGGAAGATGCTGTGACCTGTCACTCGCGTGTTCACTCAGCAAATATTTACTGAGCGCCTGTGTGTCCTCCCCTCCTGCACCCACCCGTCTCCTGTGTGGGAGTGTATCTCCAGGTCAGACACAGGGAAGGGGCCGCCCCTCCATTTCTGAGGGGCTCCGAAGCCCTGATACCTCTGGGCCCACGAGGAAATGCTGGTCAGCTTTAGATGAGCCAAACAGACCCCAACTGCCTCAGAGGGAGCCCAGTCTACCCGCCCCTCCTCCTGCCCCTTCTATCTGTGCAGACACTGCAGACAACCCAGGGCTCCCACGACAGGTCACTGACACCTGCTGCCCCTGGTGGTGACTGCTCGACGATGACGGAAAACAACGGGGTCACCAGAATCTGTCTGTCACCCTTTACCATGTAATCTCGAGGCCAGTTTTCTTCCATAGAGATGGCCAAGGGGATCTTACCAGAAGCATCGCTGACGTTCCATTGGGTCTGGATAACTGGATGGACATTTCAGGAAACATCCTGTCAATGCGGCTGATCACGTCATCAACATACCTAAGTGGGAAGAGAAACACACCCGCATGAACGAAACCCTCGGCTCAGGAACACAGGCCCACAGTGCACGGAACTCCTTGTCGGTTTCACCTGCATTAATGGAATCCATTTTCAAGAAGGCTAATGGGATAACATGGCTCTTTGTAAAATATACTACTTCCCCGTTCCTCCTCTTGCCTTCCAGTCAACCAGTCTTTAGTTAGGGTTAAGGTACCCTAACCCTAACCCCAACCCCTCCTTTTTCCTGGAGGGACACTAGCTAATTCAAGTTATAGCACAATTTTTGCTTAAATGGGTATTCTATGTTTACATTCTACACTCTATGCATACACACACACACACACACACACACACACACACACACTCATATCCTCACCCGAAGATACTAGTATGTTTATTGATTTTAAAGAGAGAGGAAGGGAGAGGGAGAGAGAGAGAAACATCAATGTGAGAAACACTGACTGGTTGCCTCCCGTATGCACCCTGCCTGGGGATCCAGCCGCATCCTGGGTACGTGCTCTGACCGGAATTGAACCACAATCCTTTGGTGTATGGGGTGACTCTCCAGCCCTGGGAGCCGCCCAGCCAGGACTATACATCTATTTTTAGCAGCTGAGCTACACCGCGGCTCATGAGTACATTTATTCACTTGTTGTACAGCTGCCTGCTCTGCCTGGTTTTCACTTGATCAGTTTTCTATGCACCTTTACCATGTTGTCCCTGACCTCTCCACGCGACTCTGAGCTTCTCACTGCCGTCACACGGGTTAGGTGCTCTGTCAGTTCCGCTCTTTTTGGAGACATTCCTCCCAAAGAAAGCCCTCTGTTCCCCTGGCCCAAATGGAACCTGTCTCCTTTAAGGTTTACCATCACTGAGACAACTGGCTGCAAGCACCTGGCATGGCATCTGGCGCAGACCAACACCTTTGGTCCCCGGTGAGCCTGTTCTGCAAAAGCGCCCCTCTCGGTGGGTGAACTCTCCCTCCAGCCGAGGCTCACCAAGGAGACGCCCAGCGCAGCCCCGACGGAGCTGGCCTGGCTCCGACCCGCTGAGAAAGAAAGCCACCAGTGTGTGTGCTCGCCATCCAACCCACTGGCCACAGAGGGCATGTATAATACAACAGCTGAGATGCAAAACTATCCATTAAGGATTCTGCATTGGATTTCGTATCTGTTGGACACGACAAATTAAATTACAGTCCATTAGATCAGGGACATATAAAAGCCGTGTTCTCTGGGCGGGGGAGAGGGAGATTAGCTCTCCGCTCACAACATGAAAGGCGTCAGCCTGCAACCCAGGGCCCCTGAGAGCAGCAGACAACACAATGCCATTTGTTTAAAAAGCGAATACGGGGAATCAGCTCGGAAAGTCAGACAGCAGTCGCACTGATTAACTCGCAGGTTCTCCTCAGGGAATGTTATCACAGTTTACACTTCGAGCGAAGAAGGCAGGGAAACGCTTCGAAGGCAGCGGCCAATGAGGAATCCCCAGCAGGAAGATGCGCAGAGATCGCGGGAGGAGGTGGAGGTGCGCTGAGGGTGTGGGCTGCTGGGGAAGAAGGCGGGAGACGGCTGTTCAAGTGGGAAGACTTCTACAGCCCAGCACCAGGCAGCCGGGGGCCAGAGGAGGGGCCGTGGCATTAAGAAGCAAACTAGCTGAGAAAGAACAAGAGGTAGTTCCTAGTGTTGAGGCCCATTCTGTTGACTTTCAGAAAGGCCAAGAAACAGCCCGGCCGGCGGGACTCAGTGGTTGAGCATCGACCTATGAACCAGGAGGTCGCAGTCTGATTCCCCGTCGGGGCACATGCCCCGGGGTGTGGGCTCCATCCCCAGTGTGGGGCATGCAGGAGGCATGATTCTCTCATCAATGATTCTCCCATCATTGATGTTTCTCTCTCTCTCTCTCTCTCTCTCTCTCTCTCTCTCTCTCTCTCTCCCCCTCTCCCTTCCTCTCTGAAATCAATAAAAAAGGCTAAGAAACAGTGACTAAGAAACCACACCTCAGGCCCCACCATCCCTTCCAGATGTGCAGCTGCCTGATGTACAGCCTCGGCTCTGAGCTTAAACGCTGCGGAAGGCGAAAACATGAAGAAAGGAGGTCAGCTCACTTTCCATCACTCCTGATGTTCCTCGAAACGGTGGAGACACACGGCAAACTCCACGTCCAAGTGTACACCAGGCCATAGGACATTTGCATATTTCTCTCCTAAATCTATGTACGCGGTTTAAACCCAGTTAATTCAGACTCAGCAGGAAGCAAAAATCTGCTGTCCTATGAGAACGGAGGTCGTTTGCTAAGCATATGCTAATGGGGAGAGGGGCATGTTTTCTGAACGATCCTCAATCAATAGCCATCATAATCAATAGCCATCATAGCTCCGACAGCAGGATGCAAATGAACCAGAACCTCAGCTCGAAGGCAGGCTCCCAGTTGCTCCCCACGCGGTCACCTTGAAGGGCTCGCAGCACTTTCTGGAAAGCCCGTCTCTGTAGCAGGCGAGGAGGCGGGGCACTGAGGAGGCCGAGCACTGGTCCGGACACCAAGCTCAGTGCAGATTCCAGAACACGGGAGGAGGGGCCGGAGTCCTGGCTGCAGACCACGCGGACCACACGTGCTCCTCGCCGCTTCCATCCCCGTGTCCAGGAGTGCTCGCGGGCGGAGAAGGAGGGCAGCGGCGGGAGGAAAGGTTCCCAGGAAAACCGGCGGCCGGCGGGAGGGTGGAGAGGCCTGGGCGGCACGGGTTTGCTTCCCACCCAGCGAGCTCAGCAGCAGCTCAGTAAGTTCCACCCAAGGAGTTCATGAAGCAGAAGTCAATTTCCAGGAGATGTTTTCCATTCCCATGTCCAACAGAACGGAGATGCAGATTTCCTTTTCACAGGTGACATTATGTGTTTGCCAAGAGGAGAAAGAGAGAAAGTCAGCTGCCTGCTTAACTGAGGAAAACAATGTCTGAATCCTCGCAGCAAAAATCACAACATTCATTTGCAAGCAGACATGGCTTTCAAACCGCAAATCCACCGCTAGTGGCCTGACAGAAGGAGGAGGCTGGCGGCAAAGCGCACTCTCTCTCTACAGGGGCTGGTGCCCAGGCACCCCTCTTGCAGGCCGTCTCTGAACGGTGCCCCCCACCCCAAGCCACGCCCACTGCCACGCAGGGCTCCGTGTGCAGGGCAGGGACAGGTGGGGAAGGCAGGCACAGCGTGCTCCCTGCCACATGGCACCGTATGTCCTGCTCGCTCTGCGCAGGAGCAAAATGCTGTAATTTCTACCTTTGGCTGCAGGCAAACAAGCAGTAACACAGCAGTGGTGACGAGTCACACTTGAGCAGATGCGACGCGGAAAGATTAATTTCGTGCCAAATTGAGCAGTGAGTCACAATTTGCACGTTCCTGCCAACCTGCTAACAGGGTAAGAACTGGAGAGCTCGCTGCTCCTGTTTACATCGCAGAGGCCTGTCCGCCAGAGCGGCCGCTCTCCTCAGGCAGCGCCCAGGAGCTGCGGCCGATGGGCCACGAAGGGCCAAACACAAACCCCTAGAAATGACGGGTCGGATCACGGTGTGACTCATCCCGAGTATTCTCAGGCAGAAGCTAACTCTGAACAACGGAAGAATCCCACCTCCTGTCCTGCTCTCTCCAGCGGACTCTCACGGGGCTCCCCCACTCTCCCAGGACCCTCCAGCGGGTTCTCCTCCGAGTCTCTGAGTCGTCCTTGGGACTCAGCTCAGAATCAACTGCTTCCCCGTCGCTGCGATCAGAAGCCAGCAGCCACTCTCAGACTTCTCACCTCGTTCTCCTGTTTTCAAGTGGCTTGGCCTGCTCCTTCAAATGTCCCCAATTTAAAGACCCTGGGACCTCGGAGGTCCTCTCGTCCAGCTCCCCTCTCAGTCTGGGGATCCAGCGGCGTCTCCATGCGGTGGTCTGCACCCCCCTGCCCACCTGGGGCTGCAGTGTCTCCACCCAACCACCCCATCAGCCTGTGGGCGACACACAGATATTTCCTCCCAAACCTACAGGCTTTGCGCAAGCCGGTGACGGACCACTGGCTTCCCTGACTTCTCAACCAGCCTTTGACTCTTTCTTGGGTCACAGGTCCCTTGGAGAATGTGCTGCAAACTAAAACGCACACCTGCACAAACTGTCCAGGCCGCTGTCGGTAGCTCCTAAGCCCTTCAAGTCCATGCAGAGACCCACGTTCAGAAGAGCTGCTCTGGACTGTTCTAGAATTGAGGTATCTGGTTTCTTCTCTGTTCCTCTCTGAATGGGAAATTGTATTTTTCAATAAAGCTATTTTAATTTTAGGAAAAAAATGTTGCAGGAACACAGAAAGGGGGGGGGGTGATGAACTAAGAGTCGATAATCTTAACATCATGCTTCCATGATGGAGCCCAAGGTTAGAGCTCATTTATAAACAACCGTCTCCCTGTTAATCTTCCCAACAAGGTCTAGGCCAGTGATGGCGAACCTAGGACACGCGTGTCAGAGGTGACATGCGAACTCATTTTTTTTGTTGATTTTTCTTTGTTAAATGGCATTTAAATATATAAAACAAATATCAAAAATATAAGTCTTTGTTTAATATGGTTGCAAATATTAAAAAATTTCTATATGTGACACGGCGCCAGAGTTAAGTTAGGGTTTTTCAAAATGCTGACACGCCGAGCTCAAAAGGTTCGCCATCACTGGCTTAGGACCTGCTTCCGTGACCGTGGAAGGCATTGGGTGTGAGGGACCGTTTCTGCCTCCACAGCCGAATTTCCCAGGCTGTGCAGCAGCTCCCTGCTCTCCGCATCCTGTAGGAGGCGCCGCAGCTCAGTGCTGAGCTCAAGTGCAAGTCCTGGGATGGCGAGGAGGCCCTGCGGGTCCAGCGGCCGCCACTGCTCCCCCTGGCCCGGCCTCCGCCTCCGCCTCCTCGGGCGACCTGGGCAGCTTGCGCCACTGGCACCGCCTGCACCCCGTGCCCTCTGCACCCTCTGCCCGGAGGATGCTGTTCACATCCCC